CTGCTTATAAGACATAAATATAAGGTATGGCAAATTGTAATAGTTGTATAAAGTTGGTTAGCAAGGTTGTTGTAATTGTTGTCTTGATAAGCAGTAACTTGTAAAATACAATATAAATATTTTAAGATTTGATAAAGTTTATAAGTGTATTTCAAAGTAAAAAATATGGTATATATATATAATAAGATAGTAGAAGATTGTATAAAACTTTGATATTTAGAAATTACAGATTGAGAGTCAGTATATATATTTATAGTACAGTTTCTAGAAGCAGTAATAAGAAAGACAAGTTCAAATTTGAATGAGAAAGGCCAAAGTTTTGTCTAAGTATAAAATGTATATAGTATAGAGTTGTTAGAGATTAGGACCTATTCAACCTATAGAGCATTGTGAGATTTTTAAATCAACAACAGAACTATCAGTATAAAAGTGGGTTTAAATAAATTAGTATTATAATTAGCAATTTGTTGAAGGTTGTTTATTGACAAACTAGATTTAAAAATTGTTAGAATTGAGTATATAGCAATATAGACATTGGATAAGTTTGGAGTTTAAATAGAATATCTAATTGCAATTGAATAAATAAGGTCTAAGTGATTGGTATAAAATTAAAAGTCTTGTTTGAGGTATTTACTCAGCTGAAAATTAGGTTGAAAGATTAATTAGAATTATAATTGTGCATTTGTTAGCAGTTATTTAAGAATTAATAAAGCAGCCAGGGTATATATACTTGAATAGATAAAAAGAATAGAGATAAGTAAATTATAACTCAATATAGTATTGCCAGTAAATAATAAAAATATTTTTTGATGAAAAAATTATTTTTAACTTTACTAACAATTATTTAGTTATCAAATACTATAATAAGCCAAAACTTTTTATATGAAAAGAAGTATCTAATTGTATAGCTATAATAGTTTGTATCAAGTAAATACAGATGTTGGTAGAATATACAATTAGAGTAGTAATTAGTAATTTGATCTTCTAAATAAATAAACTAGAGTGGCTGTTTGCTTTTTAAAATTTTATGTATATGAGAAGAAATATGTTTGTTAAAAGTAGTAAATTGTCAAGATATAAAATATAATGGTATTTAAGTTGTTTTTTAAAAGTTAAATATTTAGGATGTGAAGAAAGCAAGAATTCTAAAGAGATAAAGCCTTTTTAAATAGTATATAAATATTATATATATATTGAGTTAGAAATAAATATTATGCCAAGATGTTTAAAAAGTTAGATAATTTAAAATTAATTGAGTGTTTATTAGATCTATCAATTTTAAAATTATTATATATTAAGATACTAATAGGTGACCAAAGATTGTGCTGAAATTGTTGAAGTCAAATATGAGTGCTGATGCTAACTAAATCATGAGAATTAAGTCTTTTAGTAAAGTTTATAATATGGTGTTGTAGTTAAATATCCTATATATTACAAATATTATATAGTTGAGTATAAAATAGATGCTAGTAGAAATAATATAGCTAAGTTTAATATTGCTTTTTACAAGTTTAATATAGCTAGTAAGAATTTTGTTATATATGTTGTAAGTAGAAGTAGAATTAAGTGGAAACAGAATTTTTATATAAACCTAAAATTTTGGAGTTAATTTTATAATATGTGTATCCTTATTCTAACTATAATTTAACTTAGAAATTCTGAATCCACATAAATCCATTCCCACTTACAACATATATATTCTGATTAAGAACAATGTTATGAAAATGATATTCAATTATAGGAATAATAATTATATTAATAAGATATTGTGTATATATATTAGTAATTTGTTTAGTAGTAATTATATAAAAAAAAAACTCTTTTTGACAATCATCTGGTCAACAATTCCAAAAATCTGAACTATGATCAGTGTTATAGAAGACATTAAAGAGTGATAATATATTTGGTCCTACACAAGTAGGTGTGTTATTGATGAAGTACCAAGAGTATAAAACCGAGGAGCGGACTACTTTGTATAGTTTTTGTAGAGGTCAAACTTCTCTGCTAGGTGGACTCCTCTATTATATTCAGTATCCAAACCAGAAGAATATTCTGTGAACACAGAACGACTAGGTCGACACTAAGTATATTAAAAAAACTGGAGATAGTATTTATACAACTGTAAAACTTACAAGAAAGAACCCACAAAGTTTCATTGGCCCACCACTTTTTTTGAGAAAATTTTGTCAAAAAGTGGGCATCTCAGCTTACCTCTCCAAAAGATCGATACGTAAATCTCCAAAACAGTCAGTATTGTTTACCTAACCCAAAATGGGTTGGCCTCCTAAAATGAGTTGTTTACTTTTAGTAAACATGAATCGATGAATGTCCAAATTAAGCAACCAAATACATCTGAAGAACAATACAATTAGGCAATGTGTCTTGACCAAAAGAAACCATTTAAATAATACTTCGAAACTATTAGTGTTTTTTTTTTAACTACTCTGTCTAGTTTAGTTTAAATCTACTATTTTTTTTTTTTTTTAGGGTGGATTAGATATATTATTAGGATAGAGTTAAATACAGAGCTTTTTTATTTTGTAATATGTAATTTTTGTTAGCCTGACACAGGTTTATAATTGTAACTATTAGATTTTTTTTCTTTCATTCTTTTCCATTTACCCTTTTTAGTATTAGTATTAGTGTTAGTATTTTTTTTTCTTTTTTTCACTTCCCTATGAGAATATGTCATCAGATTGGCGATATTCTATTGTAGGGTTGTGGTCTGATATGGCTTTCTAGAATAGGTGTTCTTTAGATTTACCATGATATGTTTCTTGTAGATTTATCTGCCTAGTGCAGCAGGTCACTTGAAAGTGCTCTTAGAAGTAACTACATCAGCAAAATTTATATATAGATATATATCGATTACTAGCCCCAATGATATATATCGATTTTAATCTCCCCTGCCGATTATCATCGATTATGATATATATCGATAAATATTCAGTTAATTATAAAAATGATACTAATCGATTAAGAATATAAACGATATATAGTCTATTACATAGCAATCGATAACTAACGATTTATATAGCAATCGATAAATAACGATATATATCGAATATACTATATAATACTTTTTATTATGATTACTTGTAATACTGACAAGTAATCATAATAAAAAGAATTTCAGGTAACGTAAACATATATATATACCCAAAACGTCCTGATAACGAAAATAAAAATTTAATTAGTTTTTAAAAGGAAATTTATTTCTGTAAAGAATTTAAAAATTAAATACATAAATCATAAATTTTAAAAATACAACAAAACTGCATTTTTTTTATAAAAACTCATGGATTTAGAAAAAAAAACCAAATTTCCAAGCTTCTATAAACTTGCTGAAATTTTTCTCGATGAAAAAAAATGCATAGAATATCTTTTTGAAAAGGAAATTTTAAAAAAACCAACTAAATATTTAAATTGTGGATACAGAATTTTTTATTTTATTTCAACCAAAAAAATTTTTAGTTGTGGAAATTGCAGAAAAAAAACAAATTCTGTTTATAAAAACACTATTTTTTATAATAATCATATAAAATGTAATCAAATTTTATTCATTGGATATTTTTGGCTTATTAAGGGAAGGTATACTTCAATTCAATTATTTACAGGACATGATAGAAATACTACTAGAAGATTTATGTATTTATTTAGAAATATTGTAACTGCCAGTTTAGTAAAAGATGATAAAAAAATTGGAGGAGAAGGCACAATTGTAGAAATTGATGAATCTAAATTTCGTTCTGGGGAAAAGTGGTGGATATTAGGTATTGTAGAAAGAACTAAACTGAGAAAATGTTTTTTTAAAATGGTTAAAGATCGAAATGCTCATATATTGAAAAGATTAATCAAAACTCATGTGAAACCTGGCTCAACTATATATACAGATTCATGGAAAGGATATAGTGAATTAGAAAACATGGGAATGAGATTTAAACACAGAAGAGTTAATTATAAAAAACCAAGTAAAAATCAAATTATAAAACGAATTCATACTCAGCATGTAGAGGGAGTCTGGTCAGGTATAAAACAAAATATGTTAAAAAGAAATATGGTAAAAAAAAAAATTGAAAACCATTTGAAAGAATTTTCATGGTGAAGAAAACATGAAAATAATCTTTGGAATGGTCTAATTGAATCAATTAAAAATTATAAAATCCCATAATTTTTTTATTTAAAGAATATTTAAATATTGTATTTTCTTTTTTTATAATTTTACTTTATTAACAATGTCAAATTGGTCAGATAAATTTGAAAATTTTGAACATGCTATTGATTGGATCAAAGTCACGAATCCTGATAAACCAAATTTTAAATTGAACGAATACAGATGTGTTCTTATCAATTACAAACTCTATTATGAAGTCAAAACCCAAAAGCCAGAAATCACATTTCTAATTGATATCAAGAATTTTTATCTCTTGTTAGAATACACATGGCATTATCATAATAATTATATTCGAGCAAGTTCTAAAAAAAGAAAATTGATTCATTGTATGATTCATCCTGAATGGAAAATGATTGATCATATAAACAGAAACGGTCTTGATAACCGTGAATGTAATCTTCGAGAAACAAATAAAAGAGAAAATGCAATAAATTGTAAACTATATAAACATAATAGATCTGGTTATAACGGAATTCATTTTGATAAAATCAAAAATGCTTGGAGATTCGAATGGATGATTGAAAATAACAAACATAAAGTTAAATGGTTTTTTATTACGAAGAATAGGACTAACGAACAAGCAAAACAATTAGCGATCGAGTACAAAATGGAACATGATAAGAAAACAGGAAATAGAAATGGTTATAGTGTTGTTTATTAAATTATTCTAAAATAATATATAAATATTTCATTTTAAAATAAAACTTCGATTGGTTTAATTTTAGAATTTTGACACGTCAAATGATATAATAGGATAATAAAAAACTATAAAGAGATAGATTTTTTACTTTACTTCATATAAATAAAAATACATAAAATAACAAGAAATAAAAATGGATGCTGCTTTAGTTTTATCTCAATACGTGTTTATAGGAATGAGCCGGTAAATGATTTTTAATAAATATTTTTATTATTTAATCATTACTGATAATATTAATCATCTTATTAGTGAACTAATTAATGAATATCTTGACGACTGGTATGAAAGAAAAAAAGAAGAAGAAGGAGTTTGTCCACATTATGATCATAAAAAAGAAGTAGTTAAGCTTAATAATCGTTATAATAAACAAATTGAAGATATTACTTTTCGTTTACTCGAAGATCAAAAAGAAGAAAGACAAAAAGAAAGAGAAACTTTAGAAAAAGAAAGACAAAAAGAAAGAGAAACTTTAGAAAAAGAAAGACAAAAAGAAAGAGAAACTTTAGAAAAGAAAGAAAAATATGAAAGAGAAGAGAGAGAAAAAGAACGAGAAGAGAGAGAGAAAGTTAGAATTTTTTTTATGAAACTTTTATTGTTGCTTTTTTTCTTTATTGTTATTATGTTTATGATGTATTGCGCTTATGAACAAAGAATCTTTGGAACTTTAATTTCAGCT